AATAAAATTACCATTGCTCCACCCAGGTACAATCAGGATCAATGCATTCTGCACCAGCTGAATCTTGCGAGGAATAGCGGATGACCTGAAATTGTTAATATGAAATAATTAGATTCATATATAATTAGACTTTTCTTAAAATCAAGAAATATAATGCACCTTTAACAAAACTCTGTCATTGTTGTTAATGTACCCATTCCATTTCTCATCTGATGGATACCCACCTGCAAAATCTTCACTCACCGGAGACCTTAAAATAAATATTCAAATAAAATATAGTTAATAATGAAAAAGAATAAACAAAATGATCAATAACACTATCCATACAACTATACATCGATTGTAATAATGCAATATATTAGTCCCTTTCTTAATGTAAAAAAAAAAAACACAACTATCATGTATCTAACACAATATTTTCACTTTCACGCACGTCAATATGTAACTTCAATCATTGTTATTTTTAATTATCAATAATCCAGAATTTTTTTATTTTTTTTTAAAGATATTTTGAAGATACATAAAAAAAACCAAATTTAACAAACCCCATTTGACTTTTTCTAGTATATATAATAGCAAATGTAAGAGTGAAGCATATTAATACTTCATTCTTTTTATTTGGCACGTTTCTTTAATCAAATCAGCTAACGCACAAGTGCAACAATTAATATCTTTAATCATCAATACTTCATTATTTTTAATTGGCACGTTTCTTTTATCAAATCAGCTAATGCACAATTGCAACAATTGATATCTCTAGTCATCAATAAGTAGAAATTATCATTGAGATGATTATAAACGAACAGAGATCCTACATGACTATGTTTTATCATAATCATAGATTTACAAAAGGTAGTCAAATTAAAGTTTGTTGTGTTATAGTAAATAAAAACAAACAAAGAAGCGTCAAAAGTTTTGTAAATTTCACTAGTCATTATCATCCATAAATCCATTCCGTATCTCTCACAAAGTATAAAGCACTAGATTATACTCTCTCCCCGACTCTTTTTGTTCTTTCATTTCCCAATTAGGAAAGTTTACAAAATTCTTCTCATTTCTTTCCATATATGGTAAAAAGTTCCTTCAATTTTCTTTTATTTATTCGGTGTATGCGCCAAATATTTTATAACCTTTTTTCTCTTTTCGATACAATTTTTTAAACAATTTTCCACTAATTGCTTTTCCTATACATGATTATACATTTTAATTATCATTCTCTTTAATGAAACTCCATATTAATTACCATTTCTTTTTTTTTTGAAAAGTGGGATTATTTAATGTAGTAGAGTATCTAGTACTTTAATGGTTTCTAGCTCATCAAAATTTTCTTTTCTTAATTTACACTCAATTCTAAATGAAAAGAACAAAAAAAGATCGGAGAGAGTAGTAGTTATTCTAGTTAACTACTCTACTTCATTTATAAATACTAAACATGTCATACAACTCATACCTCATTTTAATGAGCCAATTGAAAACGTATAATTGAACTATTAATCCTACATCCCAACAAACGTTAAAATTCATGCAGCTGAATAGCTTGCTCTTATAGGAGAATCACAATGTAGCTGACAGCAGTCAACAATAAACCTCATCTTTCATTCTCTTTTATCCAAACCCAACTTCTTCATATCCTTCTTAACTATTTCCATCCAAGTTGGCCTTCCCCGAATTTTTAGATCCCCTCATCCCAATCCTCTACTTTCCTGGCTGATTATCTCAATATCTCCTGATCACTGCCTCACATTCCCAAACAAATGCAATTAGTGATCTCTTATTATATTCCCAATGTCTGCAACTTCAACTGCACTTACTAATACAAAATCCTTCCAAGAACACCCTAGGTGTTGTAACATGCAAATATGCAATCACTCATCCTAACAGTCTAACAAATCCACCTGCCAATTGTGTTCTAAATCCGTCCAAATACCACTCACCTTAGGTCAATTTAATCCCAAATCCTTTCTATATTACAAAATAGTATATGCAACCATTAATTCCGCCTTTCTAATAGCCCCATTAAGCTACTTATTTTCTTTCATAATTCTTACTACTAAGGACATGTTCCGATTTACTGAAAACAACTCAACTGAAAATCAGGAACTGACCCTGAGCGGAGCTGCCTGAACTGAAATTAAGTGGAACAGAAGAGGCCCTAAGTACTAACCAAACAACAACAAACTACTGACACACATAATTCAGTCTACTGCATCTCAAATTCACAAAATAATCAATTTCAACCATATCAAAACCATTAAAAAAAAAATTGATAAATCAAATAATCAAAACAATTCAAAATAAAAATAAAAAGAATTACCGCATTTTAAGGCAAAATGTAGAAGGCCTAGGTTTAAGATCCTTGAAAACATCAGTAAGATGCGGCAAATTAAACCGCTGCTCAAAATCACGCTCATACTTAATCTTCCAATTTGGATCACTCAGATCAATCTCCTCCGGTGGATTCCTACTCTCCGCGCAACCTAACACCGACAAATTCCCGCTTTTCCTGCCACGTGTCGTTTTCGTCGGAAAATTCAACCGAAACCCTCGGTTTCCGACGCCGGAAAAGAAATTACTCGATTTCGCCGCCGTTGACGGCGGTGGGGTGAAATTGGAGGCGATCGCCGGCGAAATTGTCGCCATTGAAAGTAGAAGGATCGAGAAATTAAGGGGTTAAGGAGTGGAGTAGGAGAGAGAAAGTGAAGAGTTTCGTGAATTAGCGGTGGACGGAGTCGTCATGGGAGAAAGGAGATGCGCCGTCAATTATACGGAGGTGAATGAAAAGGGAAAAGGGGAAAAGTAGTTGGGTTTTATAAAGTCAACGTGTTTGACTGATTATTGTTTTTGTTACGGAGTACTGTACTTGACAAACGGCTTTGTTTTAGTTCGAGTTCGGTTTGTGTTTGTGACACTTTTTTTTTAGTGTGTGAGACTTTAGTTTTCTTCTATGCTCACAATGTTGTTGCTTCTTGTGTAGTTGTGTTCTTGCCTTTTTAAATGGAAAAAAAAACTTGCTTCTTGGCATTAAAATGTAAGAAATTAATGTCTTAAGTAATTACTACGGATATAAGAGTGAGACTATTGGATGACCAATGATCTGGTCATGAGAAGAGAGAAACAACTTTTGGTTTAAAAAATTTGGATGAAAGAAGGATGAGAGATGTTGATGACCTGATCATTGGAATGACCAAGACAAAGCTTTGGTCATGAGTATAATAGTTGACAGGTAGCAAAATACTATTGGAAGGAAATGGGAAAGAGAGAGAAATTGTTATTTGCTATTTCCTATCATGACCAAAGTTATTTTCGACAACCATTGGGAGTATTTGGTTATGTGACTTGGTCATGGATGAGTGGAAAGAGAGATAAATTATATAAAAATCCATGACTAAGATTTTTTGGTCATCAATTGGGTATGCTCGGGTGTTCTTTTTAAAGGAACGATGTCATGTGTCACTCTTCAATGTATGTATGCTATGTCACAATGCCACGTCATCATCCAAAATATATGTGACACATAAGCTAACCACTTTATTTAACAAAATAAGATATGCTTTGAACAAAATTTGAACCCATAGTCTCCAATACATATCGGTAATACATTTATCATCTCAATCAACTATTATTAATGTTTCAAGTTTCACATAATATTATATATTCCTTTCATTTATTAAGTAAATTAGAGGTAGTAGAAATTATTTATTTATTTTTCACAAAATTAGAATATAAATACATATGATGTAAAAAAAAAAGGCATCTGAGGCAACACCCGAACTACTACACACACGAACTATACAAATAGTCAAACATTATTGTTAAATTAGAGCAAGAAGTACACAAACTAACAATACGAGGCATCACCTGGGGTATACACTAATTGAAAGTTAAAACACGTTTACGTTGGAAATTAAAATCGTTGTACAACCAACATGAAAACCTATGCTACCAAGTTGTTAGCACTACACCTACCACAAATACACAACACAACTGCACATATCACATTAGGAATTAAAAACCATTGTACTTGAGCTTGATTAGACATTAGACCTAGCTATTCCTAATTTTTCATGTCATATTATTGACTTATAGCCTTATAGGTAACATGATTGAACCTAATTAGCTCTAATTAGACTTGATTAACTCCAAAACTTATTTCTTAAGGTGATCAGAACACTCCCTTATAATACAATGCGAAGTATGTATAAATTATCATTATCAAATAATCACACATAAGGTTTAAATTTATTGCATGAGATTTCAAATAAAGTAAGAATGGTTAAATTTAAAACCAATTTTCCTCTAAATCACATCTTATTTAATATATAATGCAATGAATAAATGTTTATTCAAAAAATAAAATATTTTATGTAAAAAAGATAGTGACAATTCTAAATTATCTTAATTCTTTTACTTCAAGAAAAATTAAAAAATATTTTAGGAGAAAGAAATTGAGAGCAAGGTACTCCAATAAATCAAGCCCATCAATGGGTCCATGGCCCAAAACATAGACAACATGAGCAAATCTGTTTCAACATTGGCTCAAATACATAGGACATTCACAATTTAAAGCTTCAAACAATAAACATTACATTACATTATATTATATGACATTGATGTATGTATTTGTCAAAACACAGAAACCATGTGCATGTAAATGCATGTGACGCAAGATATATTATGCTTCAAAGGCTGGCCAAACCCATAAAAATCCCTTTGTACAGTTGTATTTTCCTTCAAAGTTAAGTACTCCATCAATTTGCTTCCTCAACTATAACATTATTAGTCCTTAGTCTCATAATTTTCTTCCTAGTTATGATTTTAGCTAGAGATATTTGTCGCCTAAATTTGAATAAATCAAATTTAAATGATGATATAGTTTAAATAAGCCAAACTTTAAGTCATTTTCATTTGATTATTTTCATGCTTCTTTCATGCTCTTAAGTCACATCAATTCTTTGATTTCAATTGGTGTATTTAAGTTGTGGTCCAACTAACTAAAAGTTATCCTACAAAAAATACTCATCATATTTGCTAAGCAACAAAATATAATAGCAACAAGATGGAGTTCACAAAGGTGCTCATGTTGTTTTGATCATCATCCTGGTATAATACTATGATAGCTTTCCTCATCTTTTCAACTTTCTACCCTTTGTCTTTTTGTTTCTTTAGTTTATTTGTTGGTTTTTATGTGTTTGTGTATGACGCATGTTTTACTCAATGGCTGAGACGACCACAAAGGTTCTCTAGAGATCATGTTAGGAGAACCACAAGACATGTCTCGTGCATGCGCCGACACAAGAATACCATTTTAGCTCTTTTTGAATGAGAGAACTAGATAGTTTTCATTATATTATATTATTATCACATGTTTACTTTGTAATTAGATATCTATAAAGATTACATTATATTTCTGGTAAAACATAACCTTTTATCCGGTTTTATTTTTAACAACCAAAAGGGAGATATTCACTGATATTAAAATAATCGTACGTAAACCTCACATTCCTAAATTTTGCATGTGAGCTCCGTAGACTCCTATTTAGCGGAGAATCATTTTGTATAAAGCCCATCATTGTGTAACTCCATGTAATATGTGAAACCTGTATGTGATTACATTGCATTGTATACACCTAGACTCCTATTTAGTGGAGAATCCACATAGTTGGATAGTCAAATATTTTGTAATTATGGGCCTTTATTTAAATGGTCCCACAACTCCCATGTTAAAATAAAGGCATACTAATCACATCTGATAAAACTAGGTGTTATGATATTAAAAATTAGGTTACACCCCAGTAAAGTTTAACTCACTTTTTTTGTAACTGATGCAGCTTAAGAAGAGTAAATAAAAGCCAAGAAACAAAATAAGGAGATCATCAAAAAAATCAAAGCAAAGACAGAATGCAAAGTCACAAAGGCAACAACATCCAAACATCCCAAGAAGAAATTATCAAGAAAGAACTAGAGATGGACATAGAAAAAGATTTAGAGGGAGAAATCAAAGAAGAGATATATCGGCTCGCGCTCCGCCTTCATCGGCTATACCAACACCAAAGGGACAAGCATGCTTCTCATGAACAAGTACAGAGTAACAAAATCAAGGCATTATCTGAGGTCCACATTAGTATTAAGATGGAAGGAGGGACCAAAGTTGAAATTAAAGAAATTAAGAAGAAACCTTGGGATAACAACAATATTGGTAGGGTTCAACTTGGTAAGAATAATAAATCATCTAAGTTGGATCATAAGAGGTTTGATTGGGCCAATAGTCTTAGATCAGGCCCATTAAAAGCTTGTCATAATATGGGCCGTAAAAAGATACAGATTGGAAAAGAACATCCAAGGAAAGCTTTAAAGGAGAATATAATTGTTGCTAAAAAGCAAGCTAGTGAGCCCATTAAGGGGCGTTTGGTAATTGGAGTTGGGGCTTGATCATAGCTATTGAAATTTAGCATTTGACTTAATTATTCTAAAAAGTAATTATATAATTCGTATTTATTTGGTTTGATAAATAAGTTTTATTTGTTGAGTTAACAAAACACAATTTGGTATACAAGTGCTTGAAAATAAGAAGATGGAGCAATGTTTTCAGTCATATTGGAGGATTTAAGGGGAATGGCTTCACGTCAGAGAATGGTTTACAAATTTGTAATGAACATATTTTTATTACTTTTGTTTATTGTCTTTGTGATTCCTAGTTGTTAAAAAGATTGTGACTGCTCTCTTTAACCATAAAGAGAAAAAAAAATATATACTTAGTGACTTTATTATATTAATTACTTTGTATTATTTTTAAATAAACTTATACAAAAACATTGAAGCATTGTATAGTGATTTGTAAGCTTGTATTAATTTCGTAATTGAATTCTCATTCAACAACGAACATGAAGTTTAAATCCTACTCACTTTTTTCATTTTCATCCATTTTTTTTTTCACTTTTACTTTATACCATTTATATAAATTCTTACATTATTGTAATGGCAAGTTTGAAGGTGGGTGGTGAATTAACACTGTTTAGAATACGTGATTGTAAAAATTGAATAAAGGATGGTTTGGATGATTAGTCATTGTCATAGAAAAAGTTTGCGGGTAAAGGTTACGACATATCCAACGTGGGCCGGGAAGAGTGTAAGGTAGGTCCAATACTAGAAAGGGAACAAACACTAGAATGACCCAATTAAAGCCCACATGAAACGTGTTGATGGGCCCTGGGCCCATTTACTGTGAATTACTAGCTTGTAGCAGCTAATGATTTCCCCCTCCTCGGGAGCTCAACAATAGTCATGCTTCACCCCTAGGCCCTACCCAAGTCCCCCATACTCATCCACTTTGTTAATGACATTCAGTAATTATTTATAGGCTCGTAGCACAATTGTGTTCTTAGTACTCCTTTCGTTCCATTTTGATTTAATCATCATATTAAAATGCAGAAAGCCGTTTGCATTTTGTGTTAAATTCTCCTATATATGTAATACAATATTGAACTCGGCACCAAATCAATTCATCAAAAAGCGACAAAGCTAATTTGAAATGGTATGTATTAAGGGGTACTTTAGGAGGTATAATTAAAACATCTACATGGTATGTATTGTAGCCATATCCTTTAAAAATGAGTTGAACACGAACTAAATCTTCCTGAAAAATAAGTCCAAAAGAACAAGATTTCGCAATCAACATCCTTATGACAATAAGGCCAAGTACAAATAATGGGCAAGTTATCAAGTTTGTTTACATTAGAAGCATAAAATGAAGTTGTAAAAAAAGTGAAATGTTATGTAGTAAGGGACTAGGGTCACATAAGAATCTCGAGTCTCTAAGCTAAGAAGTAAGAAGGGATCAAGTTGTAAAGACAAAAGGAATGTCTGAACAAGGCATTATTATTACTCACTCGATCATCTAACAAGTATATATTTCTTGGGATCATATAAATTTTAGTCCACCCATTGTTAAAAAAAAAAAAAAGCACTTCTTTCGTAAGAGTATAAAGTACTTGTGTATAATGGTATGCATGGCACTGAAAAAGCTATCTTAGCTTCAATTCCTTTTTTTATTTTTTTAGTTTTTTTTTTTATTGTGTAATTAGCTTAGTTAGATTCTTGAGTGACTCGATTCTTTATTCTATTGGCTAAATTCTGCAAATGAATTTTGCTTTCGAAAAAGTGACAAAAGTTGAAGGACGAATCTTAAGTATGGACAATTTTTTGGCTCTTGATCTTCTGCTATTTTACTATTTCTATCTTTCTTTTTCATTCACCAAACTTACACGAAATTGTCTTGCTGAAAAAGTTGTACCAGTAGCTCAAAAATTGTTCCGTGGGCTAGGTTCTATTACTTATGTATAATCCAAATAAATGAGTTTGGACCTATTAAGGATTTCTAAATAGATTTAGTCAACAACTTAAGCCAATAATCCACCAAAGTATATCCAAAAAAATCACCACGGAAAATTGATGCCTTAGCTTGTTTGGTAATTAACAATAAATAGGGTTATGGAAATGAATTTTATAGGACTAAGGGTGGTATTTGGTGGTAATAAAATTTTAAAGAAAATAAACATTTTTTTGTCAACAAAAAAGAAAAAAATAAATATAATTTTTTTTTTTTAAAGTTCCTTGTAGAAGCTTTTTCAATTAATTTATTCAATTTTTACGGTGAAATGACACTAATACCCCCTTTTAATTTAAAATCTTATATGAACTACCAACCCCACTATTAGCTTATAAGTCATTTAACATAATCAATCACCTATTTACTAAACACTTTTATACAATCAACTAGTAAAATAAGTGAGAGAGTGAGGGATAGCTCAAGTGGTTAGAGCTTCCCTCCCGATTTCAAGAGATTCTGGGATCGATTGTTTATCAAATCAGTTAATACAATCAACTAGTACAATCATCTTCATGACTTCAACTTTCAACTTATTTCCAAACACAATCAATTAAGTTTGGAACACGATGATACCTTTTTTTTTTTTTTTTGGCAATACAAATTATACTACGTAAATGGGGTGAAGGGATCGGATTTAAACGTACTTGTGACCTACAGCTTGGGATTTATTTGTTTCATCTCGTTTTTAACTTATTATCTAATTTCAGATTAAAAAAATACATACAAGTAAAAAATAAGTTCAAACAAAAACTAATATTAATTGAAATAATTTTAGGCAAAGTACGTAAGAGTATAAGTTTGTATGAGCATAATATAATTTTGACATAATGAGAATAACCAAACAAATCCGTATTTTACAAATCTCTAAAAGCTTTGTTAAAGGAAAATTAATTCATGACATGTACATTACAACATTACATGCATCATGTTTACTTGAAGATCAATTAAATCATGACATGTACAATTACATGCATCATAAGCTCATAACATTTGGTAAAAACACTATTAAAAAGTGCTAGTCAAGGTCTTAACACAATAGAATGTCAAAATGAAACGAATTCGTATGCATAATCTTAAAGGACACATGGAATAAAAGCCGTAAATATAGTATGTAGTAATGTTCTTCAATCTCAAAACAAAAAGAACTATATGCATAATCTTAAACGACACACGTAATAAAAGCCGTAAATGTAGTGATGTTGGTCGATCCCAATCTTTGAATCAAACCCATAGCTTAACAACTTTTCTTGACCAAATTCTAATTGATCCCTTATTTAATTTATAACATTACAATACACTGATTTTACAGAATCTGATATGAATTAGTACTGATGAACAAACTTGGTAACAGAAAAACTTGCAGTAAGTCCTGGTTTTTTGTTATAATTATCACATGTAATGTAATTTCTATCTTTGACTCTTAATTTGTATTCTTTCACCTAATTTCAGCCCTTTTTCCCTCATTTTTTTTTACCCGTGGATGAAGGGGGTGTGTGATAGTTGGAGGGTTCATATTAATGCATTTGCTTTAATTACTCATACAATATGGTTCACTTTTATTATTGTTTGGCTAAATTGGTGAAAATCTTTACTTTTATTTGTACGCCAAATATTTCCTCTTTCAGGGGCTAACATTTTGCCAATGGCCGTTAAACTCTAGTGTGACCATTGCAAAAAGAAATTCTCCGTATCTTTAATTTAATTAATTAAATCTCATGCTTTAAATAAGTTTACTTTTTTTTTTTTTTTTTTTTATATAGCTGTTGTTTTTCTTTTGAGTTGAAATAATAGATAGTGTTTGGGTCCAATTTAATCCAATTGGGCTTAGGCATTAAATGATCCAATTAAAAGCCCAAAGTCAAGGTTCATCTCTCCAATTGTGCTAAAGTCAAAGATCAGTCCTCAAGGCAAGCCAATTGGGCTAAGGCCCAACTTCTCCATGTATGAAGAGGTATAAAAGCCATCAATATTACATTTTTACATTCATTCTCATTAATTCAAACAAAGCCTCAAGCAACTAATTCTCTTGCATAGTCTTCTCTTTCAACACATTGTACTGACTTTAGCATCGGAGGGGCCTTCCTCGGCAACACCCCCGACGCTAGTTTACGTGTGTTTGCTGTGCAGGAAACCTTCGGCCCAACATTACTTGGATCGAATCTAGTCTTCTCCGCTTCATCGGACCTTCGGCAAGGTCCCATTGTTTTCACCCGAAACAATTTGGCGCCGTCTGTGGGGAAGACTTTCAAAAATCTTTAAGCCAAAATTCTAACCAAGATCATCTTGCAATTATCTTAGTAGCAATGGCTAAGAACCGCAAGAGCAAAGGCCTCCGTCAAGGAGCGGGCGAAAAGCCTAAAACCCCTACACCATCACCCTCGCCGGACCGGAACTCTCCCAAGGGTGCCAGCTCGGGGGGAGGATCATACAAGGAGGATTCCCTTTCTCCGTAATTCATGACTCTCATCATAAGCCGAGTCATTCTCGGTCTAGCAGGGGTGAGTCCGATCATAGGACACATTCAGTGCCCCAAAGCCAACCATCGACTGTGCGCCCTCATTCCCATACTCGGCCGAGGACCCCTTTTACGGGGCCCAGCTCGGAGGAGGTGGCAAGAGCGCTGGCAGTGCTCATGGAGGCGATGAGGGCACAAAATATGCCACCACCTCGTGATCGAACTCCTCCGCATACCCGGCATCAGCGGAGGAAGCTAGACCATGATGGTGGGAAGCTTCCTTCCTTCCGGGAACTGGAAGAGTGGGAAGAGGATACCTGGAAAAATGAAAAAGAGAGGAAAAAGAACCCTCAATTTTTAAAAGGATCCTCATCCTCCCGACCAGAAACGCATAAGAGCAGCAGCTCAGCTTCTCGGCAAGAATCTACTCACCGAGAACCTGAGACTGTTTGCCGAAGCATCCTCGACCGACTCGGCGGCAAGGAACCGAGCGTACGCAGTCGCCTCTCGTTCCCTGCGGCCGAGGCCCAGACTTCCCAGCCAGGGACGAAAACCACTCCTACCTCTCTAAGAGGGCGGAGCGCGGTCCCTCCGGCCAGGAACAAGGGCAAGGCCGTTATGCTACCCGCCAGTTCGCCATTCGAGCAATGGATACTGGAAGAGCACGTGCCCACGGTTAAAATACCGTCGCACATCACATATGACGGGACCTCGGATCCGAAGGACCACGTGGCCTCGTATGAGACTCATATGCATCTTTGCCCCAGATCCGAAGCGACTTGGTGCAAATATTTCCCAACCACTCTCAAGGGGGTCGCGCAAGCGTGGATCTCCAAGGGAGTAAAGCAAGGCTCCATAACAGGGTGGGATGATCTGTCCTCCAAATTCAGGAGCAAGTTTTCCACGGCAAACCGCCGAGAGAAGACTACTGCAGAACTCATGAGTCTGCAACAGGGGGAAACCGAAAGCCTC